TGGGGGTGAGGCCTCGGTTTCCCTGAAGTTTCATGTTCCCGCGTCTTCGCCACTCACCTCGGGGTGAGCCCAGACCTGGCAGGGGGAGGGCAGCGAATGAGGGCCCCCGCGCACAGGCCGGGCCCCCGGGGACCCTGTCGCCCCCTCCCCTCGGCGGTGAAGCGGCTGGCGGGGTGGGGAGGGGACTCCCGTGGGGAATGTGTTTGGAGTAAGAACAAACACGGGCGGCTTCTGTCCCTGTCTGCAGGCTGTACCCACTTGAGAGACCCCTGTTTATAAACAGATGGCCGGGGCAAATGCAAACACGAGTCTCCCCTCTCCACCCCCCCAGGACGTGGCTGCATGGTCTTGAGGGGAGTGTGGGTCGTCCTGGGTCTGTGTCACCAGGGGGGTGGCCGCCCACACTCGTGGGCCTGCTTCCTGGGGATTTCTGAGTACTGTACCACGGGGAGTTGTCATGCAAAGTCATTTGTTTGCAGCAAATAAGGGGACCACAGGGAATACTTTCTAAAGTGTGACTCCTGGAGCAGGGAAATTGGGTATCTTTTGGTTGCTTATTTAATTTTTATTTATTTATTAGAGAGAGAGAAAGTGCGCACTTCCATCCACTGGTTCACTCCCCAAATGGCCACAATGGTCAGGACTGGGTCAGGAGCCAGGAACCCTATCCAGTCTCCCCGTGGGTGCAGGGGCCCAGGCACGGGGGCCATCCTGCACTGCCTCCCCAGGTGCATAGCAGGGAGCTGGGTCAGAAGCAGAGCAGCCGGGACTCAAACTGGTGCTCCAATATGGGAGGCCGGCGCCACAGGCATGGACTTAAATTAATTAACCCACTGTGCCTCAGCGCCAGCCCTGCGCTCTTTTATTATAGGGAGGAAATGAATATGCATGAGGGGGCGGGCACAAGCGCACGCAGGCGCAGTTCAGACAGGCGCATCCATGTAGGTTGAGCTGCTTAGGGTCTAGAAATAGAAGAGTCACAATAAAGACTTTGATGGCCCGCGCGGCGGCTCACTAGGCTAATCCTCCGCCTAGCGGTGCCGGCACACCGGGTTCTAGTCCCGGTCGGGGTGCCGGATTCTGTCCCGGTTGCTCCTCTTCCAGGCCAGCTCTCTGCTGTGGCCAGGGAGTGCAGTGGAGGATGGCTCCTGGCTTCTGCCTTCGGATCTGCGCGGTGCGCCGGCTGCAGCGCGCCAGCCGTGGCGGCCATTGGAGGGTGAACCACCGGCAAGAGGAAGACCTTTCTCTCTGTCTCTCTCTCTCACTGTCCACTCTGCCTGTCAAAAAAAAAAAAAAAAAAAAAAAAAAAGACTTCGAGCTGCTCGGGGCATTAGCCGGTGAGAAAGTGCAGTTCTTCACGCTGCTCCCACATTTGAGCAACACCCCGAGGAAGGCACCTGCTCCAGAAAAGCCACGGTGCTGGCGCGTTTGCAGTTGATGCGCCCACCACAAGCGGCCCGTGGTCCCCACTTTGCAGATGAGAGGGTCGCAGACGCAAGCCAAGGAAGAGGCCGCCCTGCCCCGGCCCCCACGGCACAGGGGCGCCGCGCTGCTGGTCACCATCCGGGGGCCCCTCGCTTCTCCGTCAGGGGTCCCCGACTTTCTCAGGAGGACGGGAGGAAGTGGGAGACTGGAGGCCTCGGACGCAGTGCAAAGAGGCTGCCTCTGTCAGAAACTTCTCCGGAGCAGGAAGCACAGCGCTCTCCTCTTTCGCCTGGTGTATTTGTTGGTGTTACGTTATTTAGTGAGCTAGACACAACACAGACTTCACCGTCCTGCACTAGCGTGCCGCACAGCCGACCCCGCCGCCACTGCGGACCCCCACACCCTATGTCAGGGGCCAGTCCGAGGCCCGCCTTCTCCGCTTTGGATCCAACTTCCTGCTAACGCATCTCTGTCTCTCCCTCTGTCTGTAACTGTCTCTCTCAAATAAGTAAATAAAAATCTGTTTTACACATAAATATTTTTTAAAATGTACCATCTTGAACATTTGAAGTGTGCAGGCACTCTGGTGAGGATGCCCACATCAGAGGTCTGGTTCAGTCCTGGCTCTGCTTCCTGATGCCAGCTGCTCACTAACACACACCTGGGAGGCGGGGACAATGGCCTCCCACCCACGCAGAAACCTAGGACTGAGTTCCCAGCTCTGGTTCGGCCCAGCCCAGGTCCTTGAGGATTCTGGGGGAGTGAACCAGCAGAAGGGTGCTTTGTCTCTCTCTCTCCTTTCTGCCTATCAGATAAATGAATACAAATTTATTTTTAGGTTTATTTTATTTTATTTATTTGAAAAGCAGAATTACAGAGAGAGGTAGAGACAGACAGAGGGGTCTTCCACCCGCTGGTTCACTCCCCATATGGCTACAATGACCGAGGCCGGGCCAGGCCAAAGCCAGGAGCCAGGAGCTTCTTTCGGGTCTCCCATGCAGGTCCTAAGCACTTGGGCCATCTTCTACTGCTTTCCCAGGCCATCCATAGCAGAGAGCTGGATCAGAAGAAGAGCAGCTAGGACTTGAACTGGCGCCCATATGGGATGCCAGTGCTTCAGGCCAAGGCATTAACGCACTGTGCCACAGTACCGGCCACCTATTGTTTATTGTTCAAAGATTTATTTATTTACTTGAAAGAGTTACAAAAAGGAGAGGGAAAGGCAGAGAGAGAGAGAGAGAGAGAGAGTGAGTGATCCAGGAGCTTCTTCTGGATCTCCCATATGGGTGCAGGAGCCCAAGGACCTGGGCCATCTTCTACTGCTTTCCCAGGCCATCAGCAGAGAGCTAGATAGGAAGTGGAGCAGCCGGGACTTGAACCGGCGCCCATAAGGGATGCCAGCACTGCAGGCAGATGCTTAACCTACTGCACCACAACTGCACCACAACGCAGCCCTGATACCATGTTCTTTTTTTTTTTTTAATTTATTTTTTGTATTTGAAAGAGCTACAGAGAGAGAGAAGGAAAAGCAGACACAGAGAGAGAGGGAGAGAGAGAGAGGAGAAAGAGAGCGATCTTCCATCCGCTGGTTCACTCCCCCAGATGGCTGCAACAGCAGGAGCTGAGCTGATTCAAAGCCAGGAGCCAGGACTCCCACGTGGGTGCAAGGCCTAAGCGCTTGGGCCATCTTCTACTTCTTTCCCAGGCCATAGCAGAGAGATGGATTGAAAGTGGAGCAGCTGGGATTCGAACTGGTGCCCATATGGGATGCGGGTGCTGCAGGAGGTGGCCTAACCCATGTTCTTCAGGGGACTGCCGGAGCGGGCTGCACACAGGTGGGAGTTATTTTCTGCCTCTCCCTCCATTCCGGGTGTGGATTTTAGTGACTGATTTGTTCTCAGGAAGGCAGGGCAGGGACACTCAGAGCTGGGGGAGGGAGGCTAGCAGACTGGGGCCTGACGCTGTCCGGCACCTACAATCCAGGCCCTGTATCCAGCCGGTTTCACTCCAGTGAGCAGGTTGAAGCTTAAGGAGGGGACATTATGGAGGGTCGCCCCAGGACACTGGGCAAGTCCCAAAGCTAAAGGCAGTGCAGGCTCCCTAGCTCCACCCAGAAATGCAAATCACCTGCCCGGTTAGACCCATTAGCTCTCGGGAAGGAAAACTCACCCTAACTGAAGATGCATCTAAGAGTGTTCCTCTTAGATGGCAGCTTCTGCTACCGTAGCAGTCAGAAGCCAGGGCCTCCTGGGGTCCCCAGCTGCTCCCTCCCTGCTGTGCCAATAAAGGTGGCCCTGGTCGTTGACTTGCTGCAGTCCCGCAGCGAGAAGCCTGGGGGTGGAGGCTGCCCATGCAGTCTTGGAGGGGCACAAGGGCAGGGCCTGCACCAATATGTGGGGTCTCCCTTCCAGACCACCGGGCTCCTGAGTGCCAGTCACGTGCTGGGAGCTGTGCTCATCACGAGAGCGGAGGCTTGAGAAGTTGACTCACGCTGGTAACTTCTGCAACTTGGCTTCAACCTGGCTGTGGGGTGTGAGGAAGGACTCAGAGCCGAGCAAGCTGGAGAGCAGAACAGAGGACCTTTGACCCAGCTCCGAGCAGCCCCCGGGGAGTGGGCCCCCTTCCTTCCCTGCCTCAGCCCCGCCACTCCCACCCACACAGCTGCTGCTCCTCTCTCTCCAGCTCAGCAGGGCCTGGGGGTGGGCTGTGGGAGCGGGGGTCTCGGCAGTGGCTGGGCTTCCCACCAGTGATTTCACCTGCCCACAGGAGGCCAGAGGAGCCGTGATCGGCACCAGGGCCACAGGGGCTCAAGGCAGAAGAAGGTGGGGAAGGATGACTCCCACCTCCCCTGCGCCCAGTCATGCTATCATGCTAAGGATGGCTGAATTCCAGTTTCCAAAAAGGAATGGCTGGGAAGGAGTGGCTTGTTGAGAAACAAGAAACCAGGAAAGGAAACAATTTATCACACTTACTGAGCACCTACCTTGAGGCCCGCTTAGTGCCCTGGCCTTGCTCTGGGGGCCCTACAGCTGGGTCGGATAGACTTAGGTTCCCCTGTGCCACACGCCACAGAACCGCAGCAGCCAGGGACCAGAGACAGGAGCAGCAGGCGTGCACCATCTCTGCCTGGGGTGACTTGGGGAAGGGCTCAAAACAAAGTGACATGTGGCCAGGGTTTTGAGGGATGAGTAGGAGTTTGTGAGGTAGCAGGGATTTGGGAAAGTGCGTTCTAGGCAGAAGGGGACAAGCTGGCAGGAAGGTGGGAGACAGCGGCAGGTGTGTGGACCCCCTGGCTGGAGCACAGAATTTGCTGGTGGCAGAGGTGCGGTGGGTGTAGCACAGGTGTGGAGAGGAGGGGTATGTGGCACGGCCGGGAGGACCTGGGTTAAGGGCACTGGGGTTGGAAAGGTGACTGGCGCAGATCCAGGGCAGGAAAGAGCAGGCACCGTGGCTCAGACCCAAGAGGCTGGAAGCCTGGGGCAGCTCTAGTGACCACAGGGGCTTCCCTGCAGGGCACGGTCCTCCCTCGGGACTGAGGCTGGGCGGAGGCAGGGCTGGGTGGGAGGAGATGGGGCGGGGCAGAGGCGGCCAGGGGAAAGTCCAGCCTCCGGGCGTTCCGCGCCGCTGGGCCGACCTCCCGGGCTTGATCTGGGGCCCCGCACCGACGGACCGGCCCTGGCGGCGCTGCACTCCCGGCGCGCGGAGACTGGTAGGAAAGCGGGAGGACAGGGGCCCCGCGGGCGCACCCCGGCGCTTCCGCGGGAATCTGCCCCGCGGGGCTCGCGGCGACTGCGGTGTGGGAGAAAATGAGGAGGCGCCTAGGAGACTGCGCCTAGGTGGGCGCAGGCCCGGGGCCACCTTGGCCCCGCGCGCCCTCGGGCGGCCCGGGGTGGGTGGGGGGTGTCGGCGGGCAGGAAGCGCGGGGAACCGGGGCTGGTGCCGGGCGGACCCACCCCGGCGGCCCGGAGCCCACGCCTCCCGCCTCCTCGGACCTCCGCGCGCTCGGGCGTCCCCGAAGCCAGGCCCGGAAGGGGCGTCGGGGTTGAGGACCTGGAGCGCCCGAGCCCGGGAGCACACGCTGGGCTTTCCACGGGACCCGGCACGAGGGTGCACGGGGCGCTCTGCGCGGTGCGGACGCGGAGCGCCCCGTCGGGGCGAGGTGCCCAGGGAAGGGCGTCGCGCCGGCCCCCGCGGGCCCATGCCAGGTGGGCACCGCGCAGGAGTGCGGGGAGGCACAGACCCGCTCCGCGCCGCCCGCCGTTCGTGCCCCGGGCCCCAGACTTGCGTTCCCGCCCGCGGGAGCACCGCGCGCGGAGCCCTGCCCTCCGGCCGTGTCTGGCTCCCCGGGGGCCCGCGCTGCGGCGGTGCCGTGCGGGGGCAGGTGCCGAACCGGCAGGGGCAGGCCGCAAACGGCCTCTCACCCCGGCCAACCCCGGGGATCCCTGACATGACTCACGGCGCCGGGAGAGACGGTGCTGAACCGGCTTGGGTTTTATCCTTGTAAACTGAGGTCATCGTGTACTTAGAAAAAAAAAAAAAAACCGAGTGGAATTGGAATTACAGATTTTAGAATTTAAACGCGCGAGTCGGTGCTTGTTGAATGTTCTATGCGGAACAGCGCATGTTGCTCCTGTCGGGGTCCGACGCCGGGACACGCACGCACACGCACAGGCACGCGCAGTGCCCTGTGTGCGCACACTGGACCGCACACCCCCCACCGCCTGCTCACGCGCACGAACACCCCTCGCGCCCCGCCGAGGCTGCACGCACGCACGCACGCACTCACGCTCGCACGCGTGCACACACTGCACGGGCACAGTTCTCACTCCCCGCAGGCGCCCCGCACGCGTGCACACACTGCACGGGCACAGTTCTCACTCCCCGCAGGCGCCCCGCACGCGTGCACACACCTCCGGCGGTTGGGCCCGCACGCGGACTGCAGAGCCTGCTTGCGAAGCGCTCTCTGCTGACTTGGGTTTAAAGTAGGATACAACCAGTTTATTGTTTTTTTTAAAGCAGTTGAATTTCAAGTGTCTTCAGAGACTTTTTAAAAAGTCTATTTCAGTGATAACCTTAAATGACTGTATCAGCTGTTTTGAAGCAGCCGCGGTAACGGCTTTAGAAAGGAGCCGCTTGCTGCATTAAAGCAGTGGTCGATTGCTTTGGTTCTGAACTCCGTTTTTCAACAGTGAGCACTATTTTTGATTGCCCTCTCTTTCTTCCCTGAAACAAGTTGTTCTGGAACTCGGGCCGGTTCTGGGTGAGCGCGGGCTCTCCCACAACTGCGCGCGCACTGGGTTCTGCGCGCCCCACCCCGCGCGCCCTCGCGCTGCTGCGGTGCCCGCGCCGGTCTCCTGGTCAGGTCGGGCGCCCGTCGGTGTCCGGCCCGCCCTGACGCGCGGCCTCTCCCGCAGGCGAGATGCGGCTGCTCCTGCTTGTTCCGCTGCTGCTGGCCCCGGCGCCCGGATCCTCGGTGAGTGCGGCGGCAGAGTGCCCGCTGGATGGGCCGGGCCGAGGCGAGCCCCTTCAGTAACTAGTGGGACCTTGAAGCCAGCCGCCCAGGGTGCCGGGAACGGCCCGAGGCTGCTTGGCCAGGCCGGCAACCCCTTCAGCCATCCTGCCCGCGTCCCTGTCCCCCCTCCAAAGGTGGTGGGTGCACTCCATGGAGTCCTAGGTAGTGCTGAAGAAGCCCCTCCCCTGTGGAGGGCCAGGTGGGGCCAGGCTGGTCCAGCCGAGGTGCAGGGCTCTCCCTCCGGGCACCTCTCACCTGCGCGGGACCAAACAGGACGCTCCTCTGCTGTGCACGGAGCTCCTGGGAGCAGGGGCGCCTCCTCCGTATCTTTGCGGTTCAACCGCTGGCCCCTGGGTCCCTGTGGCTTCTGAGTACTTGAAAGGTGGGGCCAGTGCAGTTGAGGAACTGTTTTACATGTATTTGACTTTGATTCACTTAAATTTAAATAGCCACGCGCAGCCAGCAGCTACCGAATCAGCCGGTCGGAGCTTAGCGTGTGGCTGTTCTGTGCACTGATCGGGACTCGGGCCTCCAACAGCGGAGTGCCTGGGTCCAGCCCCAGCTCTGCTCCCGGTGCCAGGTTCTTGCTGAGGCGAGGACGTACCGCCCTGGGACGCGGTGGTGATGGCGCCAGTACTTGGGTCCCTGCTACCCTCAAGGGAGACCCGATTGAGCTCCTGGCTCCTAGTGTTGGCTTGGCCCCGTCGCCACTATTGTGTGCATTTGGGGAGTGAACCTGCAGATGGAAGATCTGCCTCTCTCTCTCCCTCTCTCTCTCTGCCATTCAAATAAACAGATAATTGAGAAGAGAAACTTAGTGGACACAGGAGATCTAGTCACCACCACTAAGGGCGGTGCGAAGGTCGGGGCTCCGCGGGGAGCGGGCCTGGGTCCCGGGCATATGCAGGGCAGCGTAGGGATTTCTAGACTGCAGGCCCAGCTTTGGGAAGGAGGGGGCAGCCAGGCCCGGTGCGGGGCCCCACCAGGGACACCCACCGTGCCGCCCGCTGCTCAGTGAGGCAGGCACAGCGAGGCCCCTTGGGAAAGGACCCACAGTGTTGGCTGCCTGAGGGGAAGGGAGAGAAGGGGGCCTCTGTGGAAAGGGGGGGAGGGGAAAGGGAGGTGGGCATCGGGCACTCCTCCAGGGATGGCTGGGCCACAGTTGTCACGGGATGGGGGGGTGGCTAGGGTCATGCTGCCTAATGGGCTCTCCCCTGCCAGCTTCCCTCGCTCACCTCTGCCCCCTTGTGGTCTGTGTTCCCTAAATGCCACCCTCTGGGGTCCTGCAGCGTGTGCCGGTGCCCAGTGCCTGAAGGCCAGAGCCAAGCCAAAGCCCAGATGGGGGTCCTGACAGCAGTGTTAGGACCCCGATGACGCCCAGAGCTACCCTGCGATGGTTTCTGCCTGGAGGCGAATCACCCAGCCCCTGATTGTGCCGGCTTGGGGGTGACAACGCCCACCCACTCCCATACAGATGCAGGGAGCCAAGGTTTACAAAGCGCCCTGGGTTTTGTTGGGTCCTCATTTCCTTAGGGACATGTGGAGCTGGGCCAGCCTGGGTTGGTGGAGGGGGTGTGGCCCCGGCCCATGGCTCGGCTCCTCCCTTTTCTGGACCACCCCTTACTCCCCACCCCAGGGAGGAGTCTGCCGCTGGATCCCCAAGCACCCCCTGGGGTCACTGTCCAAAGGGACAGGGCTCAGCTGGAACAGAAGGAATAGGTAATGTTTTTCATCATTCACTGCTTTTATTCACTTGAAAGGCAGGGTGAGCTCCCATCTGCGCCAAATGCCTGCAGCGGCCTGTCTGGGCAGAAGCTAGGCCAGGAGCCTGGAATTCAGTCTGAGTCTCCCTCATGGGTGACAGAAGCCCAGGCTATTGAGCCATCACCTGCTGCCTCCCAAGATGGGCATTAGCAGGAAGCAGGAATTGGGAGCGGAGCTGGGACTCGAACCCCTGACACTCAGATCTGGGATGCGGGCATCCCAAGCAGCTGAGCCAAAGGCTTGCCCGGAGCGGTGATTAAAGGTGGTGCTCGCTCACTCTTTCTCTCCCCCGGCCCATGCATACTGGGCAGCTGATTCCCCTGGCAACAGTGCAGCAGGAAGGCGTGTGTGTGTGTGTGTGGGTGTGTGTGTGTGAGTGTGCATGTGCGCGCGCACTCCCAAGCTGCTCCAGGTGGGGCTGGCAGAGTGGGTGGGGTGAGGGAGCTACCTGGGACAGGTGAGGACAGGCCAGAGTGAGCCGGGGCCGGATCTGTTCTCTCCGGCTTCCCCGCCGGTGGTTTGGGTAACCGCAGAGAAACAAGGGCAGTCGCGCTGCTCGGCATCCCCTGTGGCTGCCTTCCTCGCAGGACCAGCGTGGGGACAGAGCTCAGCTGGAGCTGCCACAGGCTGGGCGCCTGGGCCCGTGGACGCCCACCTCACCTCAGGGGCTGGGCGCAGGAGCAGGAGGGAGTGTGCGTAAGGCACCGCCCTATGCACGGGGCCCTGAGAGGACCCTGCATTCAGGCCGGCACCCCCTGCCCCCGACCCCCCATCCTGATGGCCATGGAAGCCCCGGGAAGCGTGGGTTTGGGGAGGCCGAGGGCGCTGGGCTAAGGCTTTGCTTAGAGTACCGGAAGGCCCTGGATTCCGACAATGCGGCCTTGGGTGTGTGTGTGGGGGGGTGAAGGGGGCCCTGCAAAGTCACCCCAGCACCCAGAATCCTCCCTTTGACCCCAGACACCTGATCTGAGCATATCTTGGCGTTGGTGTCACCGGGGGAACCCTGGGTCTTGGGCTTACTGGCTTTGGAAGCTGGGTGGTTTTGTCCCACTCTGGGCGGGGGGTGGGGAGAGACAATCTGAAGAAGCACCCAGGGTCTGGGCCCTTCCTGGGGTTGAGCAGGTGCACTGAGCCCTGTCCCGCTGCGGGGCCCCGGGCTGTGTCAGGAAGCAGGGGTGCTGGAGCCGAGCACACCTCGCTGCCCCCCCGAGAGCTCTGATGTCGGGGTGGGCTGGGGGCTCCCAGCAGGAAGAGGGCTTCCTTTTGTGCCTCACCCCTTGAGCACTAGGAATTCTAAGTGGTGACGCCCAAAAGCCCCCTGACAGCCAAAGGGACGTGTTTGCCTGCCCCCCAGCAGGACTGGAAAGTCAAGTGCAATCCCGCTCTAGTGCCCAGTGGCTCCTCCTAGCCCGAGAGCAGAGGCCGGGAGGGCCTCTGACCTGCACCTGTGTCCCCGGGCCCCTCCCTGGCGTCTTCTCTCTCCTCCAACCTGGGACTCCTAGGGTTTCACAGCAGAGATGTCTGTGAGTACAGACGTGGGCTCCCCACGCTGGCAGCAAGGGTCGTCTTTTCTTTTTTTTTTTTTTAAAGATTGATTTATTTATTTGAAAGGCAGAGTTATAGTCAGAGAGGGAGAGACAGATCTTCCACCTGCTTGTTCACTCCCCAAATGACTGCAATGGCTGGGGCTAGGGCTGGGATAGGCGAAAGCCAGGAGCCAGGAGCTTCCTCTGGGAATCCCACATGGGTGCAGGGGTCCAAGCACCTGGGCCATCCTCCACTGCCTTCCCAGGCCATTAGCAGGGAGCTGAATCAGAAATGGAGCAGCCAGGACTCAAACCGGTGCCCATAGGGCTTCACCCGCTGCACCACAGTCCCACCCCAAGTCAGAGCTTTCTGATAGGAAACCGTGTCTGTTAAGGTTATGTTCCCACTGCAGAATCCCAAACGAGTCTTTTAGCAATCACGTCACACCCAGCGGCGGGAAGTCCAGGGCTGCTCTGTCCCACAAAGTCCTCCAAGCTCTGGGACTTGACTGTTTGAAGCCTTTTCCCCCAATGACATTACAGCCCCAAAGACTGCTCCAGCTGCACTCGTCATGGCTGCTTTCCAGTGGCAGGGAAAAGGGAGATTAGGAAGAAGAAAAACACTTGCAATTTCTCTTTTTAAAAAAGACTTATTGGGCTGGCGCCGCGGTTCAATAGGCTAATCCTCCGCCTGCGGTGTCAAGACCCTGGGTTCTAGTCCTGGTCGGGGTGCCGAATTCTGCCCCGGTTGCTCCTCTTCCAGTCCAGCTCTCTGCTGTGGCCAGGGAGTGCAGTGGAGGATGGCCCAGGTGCTTGGGCCCTGCACCTGCATGGGAGACCAGGAGGAAGCACCTGGCTCCTGGCTTCGAATCGGCACAGCGCGCCGGCCACAACACACTGGCTGTAGCGGCCACTTGGGGGGTGAACCAACAGAAAAAGGAAGACCTTTCTCTCTGTCTCTCTCTCTAACTCTGCCTGTCATAAAAATAAAAATAAAAGATTTATTTATTTGAAAGGCAGAGTTACAGACAATCAGAGAGAGAGACAGAGAGAGTGAGATCTTTCGTCTTCTGGTTCACTCCCCAAATGGCCACAGCGGCCAGAGCTGGGCCAATCCAAAGCTGGAGCCAGGAGCTTTTTCCAGGTCTCCCACAAGGGTGCAGGGGCCCAAGGACTTGGACCATCTTCTACTGCTTTCTCAGGCTGCAGCAGAGAGCTGGATGGGAAGTGGAGCAGCCAGGTCTCAAACCGGCGCCCAAATGGGATGCCGGCGCTTTAGGCCAGGGCGTTAACCACAGTGCCGGCCCCTGCCGCTGCCTTTTAATGCTGCCCTCAGATCTTAGGGCCTCCTGCCCCATGTCACTGCTGACCCCTCAGTGCCTGAGCACTGCCTTCCCTTAGGGACCTCCCCCAGACAGCTGCCCCCCCCCCCCCCAGGCCTGGCTTCCAGCTCCCATGCTGAAGCCGATTTTGTTAGTCAATATGTTTTGGGAAGCCTGGTGGTGTTTGGGATGCTGAGTCCTGAGGGGCTAGCTCGAGAAGGGGGGATCTCAGGCTCCAGTGGCCCCCCGGGAGCCTCCGCGTGCCCTCTGAGTGGGCAATGCTGACTGCCGCACGCTCTGTGCACGCCTCGTCTGCAGGTTGCCAATGTGAGACGGCAGACTGACGCCTGGGGCCCCTGGGGCCAGTGGAGCCCCTGCAGCCGGACCTGCGGCGGGGGCATCAGCTTCCGGGAACGCCCCTGCTACAGCCAGAGGTAGGGAGGCTACCACAGGCCTGCTTGTTACAGGAGGTCACGGAGTAGGTGTCCAGGCCCGGCCTGGGCCCCAGGGGCAGGTGATATCAGCAGAAGGTAGGAAATCAAGTCATCTCCCTACACCCCGATTCCAGCGAGCACCCCGTTTTCAGAGAAGTTGCAGCAGGTCCAGTGCGGCCATGGCAGGTGCAGGTCGTCCTGTGGAATCGGACAGTCAGCAGCTGCAATTCCTAACACCTGCAGCTTTTGGGCAGCCTGCCAGGTGCAGCCGCGGCTCACTTCCGGTGACTTATTAAGCGCTTACTGCGCTCTGCACCTTGATAGGTTGGCGGAGGGGGCAGGATACAAACGAAAGGATGATGAGGGTCTCCTGGGGGCGAGGGGCGTTTGCTCGCGCTCTCTGCTGCGTGGAAGAGCAAGAGAGCCAGGTGCGACAGGTTCGCTCTTTCTTTCTCTCTCTCTCTCTTCCTTTCTTCCTTTCTTTTTAATGCCATGCATTTGCTGCTTAAATGGCAGAATATTCACTACTTCTTATTTAATCCCCGAGGGCCGAGTTTGGGTCAGCCCTGGAAACGCGGTGAGAGGCAGGGTGCTCCTGAGTTAGGTAACCCGCGGGACAGCGAGGATCTGAGTCCTGCTTCTCCCAGGTGCCAGCGAGGGCTGACTGTAACCGTGCCGCGGGGGAGTTGTCCGTGAAGCCCCCGTGGTTGCCCTGCTGCCCCGCCAGCCCAGCCTTGCCCACCGGGAGCCCCCGGAAGCCAGGCCGGCGGCAGAGCAGCGGCGGCGGGGGAGGTCGGCTCGCGGGGCTCCAGCTCCCCGGACACTCTCGCCCGCAGGAGAGATGCAGGCTCCGGCTGCGTGGGCCCCTTCCGGAGCCACCGCTCGTGCCGCACGGAGGTACCCTTCCCCCTCCCCACACCCCGACTGCGGATCCCCGCCCCGCATCCCGGGAGCGACCTTGCCCTCCGCGGCGGCTTGCGTCCTGCAGCGCAGACTATGCTGGGTGGGTGGGTGGGGCGCACAGGAGCCCTGGGGGCGCGAGCCCGACAGTCCCGGGCGCCGACAGCCGGGCTCCACCTTCTCCCCCTCTGCAGAGCTGCCCCGGCGGCGCCCGCGACTTTCGGGCCGAGCAGTGCGCGGAGTTCGACGGCGCCGACTTTCAGGGAAGGCGCTACAAGTGGCTGCCCTACTATGGCGGTGAGCACAGCGGCTGGGGGCGCCCGCCAAGCCGGAGCCCTTGGCCCCCACCCCGCGCCTCCCGCCCAAGGACCCCTTCCAGCTCCCCGCGCCTCCCCCCTCCCCCAGCCCTCTCCTCCCTCAGCCCGGGTGCCTCCCCCCCCCCCCAGCCCTCTCCTCCCTCAGCCCGGGCGCCCCCGCCACCTGCCCCTTGCATCTGTTATCCGGGCCCCCACTTTGTTGGGGTTTCATACGTCGAGTGGACAGGGGTGGAGGGGGGCTTTGCCTCGCCCGCCCGGGGGTGCGTTTGGAGCACGGCGCGGCCAGTCTGTGCGGCCCTGAGCCGGGCTCTGGGTCCGCCTGCTCCCGGGGCGCTGCCCCTGCCTGGAAACCATTCCTGGCTGCCCGCTGGCATGTTGGTATTGATCCCGCGCTACTGTTCGGGTTGCGGTTCCAAGCGCTAAGACCCGAGCTGCGGGAGACCTCGCCAGGGGTCCGGCCTTCTCTCCCAGCCTCGTGCGGGCGTCTCCGCGCCTAGGAGAGAAACTTCGGGCCCTGGGCGGGGTGGTCGCGGAACCTGGGGTCTCCGTTGTCCCCTCTTGCCCACCCCAGCCCCCAACAAGTGTGAGCTGCACTGCATTCCCAAGGGGGAGAGCTTCTATTACAAGCACAGGGAGGCCGTGGTGGACGGGACGCCCTGCGAGCCCGGCGGGCGCGACGTCTGTGTGGAAGGCAGATGCCGGGTGAGTGTCGCTGGCTCCCGCAGCGGGCACCCGGCGCCTCGCAGCACCCTGGGGGCGGGGCGGCTCTGGGGAGAGTGACCTCTTCTCAAGTCGCCTGGCTGCCCCGTGACCCCCTTCCCCTGTCCCTTCGGGATTCGAGCCCCACAGCAGGGGTTGTTGGCTTGGAGCTGCTGGAAAAACCTCTTGCTTCCTGCTTAGGCTGTCTCTGGGGGCCAGGGTCTGGATCAGGCGGTCTGGGAGGCAGGAGGGTGGCCTGCAGCACCCAGGGAGGGGGCTTCGTTCCTAGGAGTTCCAGCAGGCTGGGCTGGCCCCAGCTCCGCTTGTTTTGGCCTGGAGCTTGTGCGGTAGCCCCTGAGCTCTGCAGGAGACACATGTTAGCCGAGAAGGGGGGCTGCGGCTGGCAGTGATGGACAGCCAAGGGGCGGGGCGGGCTGGCTGTGGCCTACCGAGGCCTACCCTGACCCGCCTGGCTAGCTGTGGCCCCCGGCCTGCATCCTGGTGTGGCGCTGACAGCCGTCTCTGTCTGGCAGGTTGTCGGCTGCGACCACAAGCTGGACTCCCCCAAGCAGGAAGATGAGTGTCTGCAGTGCGGGGGCGACGGCTCCACCTGCTACCCCGTCAGAGGCACCTTTGACGCCAATGACCTCAGCAGAGGTGGGGCCCTGGGAGGAGTCTGTGCCGGGGCCTTCCTAGCCTGCCCCCACCCCCAACTCTCTGGCCAAGACTGGGAGCTGAGCAGACCCCGCAGCAGAGGGTCTGGGCACTTAAGGTCATGTCTAGGAGCCCCCGTGTGTGTGGTCTGATCTCACAGGCCACCCTCCCCCCAGCCCTCCCCTGCCCCCCTGCCTGCCTCCCTGGCTCCTTCCTGTGAGGTGGGAGGGGCCCGCAGGAGGTCAGCTGAGGACCCCGGCTCCGCCCCCTCAGGTTACAACCAGATACTGGTGATTCCCGTGGGAGCCACCAGCATCCACATCGAGGAGGCTGCAGCCAGCAGGAACTTCCTGGGTGAGAGCCGCATCTTGGGTGCTTGTGGGGGGTTGTGGGGCTGCTGGCGGAGGCCCGCCCCGCTCCCTGGCTGACCTTGGCCGTCTGCCCTGTGTGCAGCGGTGAAGAACACTCGCGGGCAGTACTACCTCAACGGGCACTGGACGGTGGAGGCAGCCGGGGTCCTGCCGGTGGCCAACACCATCCTGCAGTACGAGCGCGGTGCCGAGGGGGACCTGGCCCCCGAGCGGCTCCGTGCCCGGGGCCCCATCTCGGAACCCCTGGTCATCGAGGTGAGCAGGGCTGTGGGGGGAGAGGCCGCCCAGCCGAGTGCACTGGTGTGTTGGTGCCCTGGGGCCTGAGGCTGGCCAAGGGAGCTGTGGGGTTGACGAGGGGTGGAGCAGGCACTGGGCAGAAGGGATCATGGAGGACCCCTGTGCGGCGGCGGCAGCTCATCAGCCAGGAGGCCAACCCCGGCGTGCACTTTGAGTACTACCTGCCCCTCGGAGCCCCCTACCCGGGCTTCAGCTGGAGCCACACCTCCTGGAGTGAATGCAGCACCGAATGTGGTGGAGGTGAGGGCACGGGGCAGTGCGGGGGCGGGGCGGTGTCCCATCGCAGCCCCGCCCCCAGGCAGTCCCCTGGGGTGGGGTTGGCACAGTCTCCATGCCTTGGAGAAGACCCTGGACTGCACGAGGGACCCTGGCCTAGGCGTCCCAGAGCGGGCGGCACCTCCCAGGAGATGGCGCTCCCCTGGGAACGCGGGCCAGGCCTGCAGCCGGGGACAGCTAAGAGTCCCGGTTGCTTCTCTGCAGACTGGGGATGATGGTGGCGCCTATCTTAGGGGTCACTTGAGACACAGAGTGATCTGAGGGGTATGTTCAGGCCAGTCCCCGGCCTAGGTGTCACATAACAAATGTGGACTGGCCCCTGACCTGCGGCCGGGCCCCATTCAGGTCACCAGACCCGCTTGGTGTTCTGCACCACGGACACCGAGGCCTACCCTGACCACATGTGCCAGCACCTGCCCCAGCCCGCCAGCCGCCGCCAGTGCAACCCTCAGCCCTGCCCCCAGACCAAGCGGTGAGGCCCTAGCACCTGCCCAAGCTGGTGTGTGTGTGTGTGTGTGGGGGTGGCCCAGAACCTGGGTGGGAAGGGAGTGGGGGCGTAAGCTGGTGTAGGTGTAGAGATGAGGCGTTGGGCAGCCCAGGGCTCCCCGGTTGTGACTGGGGTGGCAGCTGTGACCGGCCGAGGCTGGTGCCTGGGGCCTCCACCCTCTCCACTCTCACAGCCCACGCAGTCCTCAGGGCTGGTGGTAGGAGGTGTGGAGCCCCCTGTCCTAGCTGGCCAGGACCTGGTGGGGACAAGAAGGCTGAGGGACAGTGAGCAGGGCGAGCACGGGTCTTGGCCCGGGTGCAGAGCTCTGGGCCTGAGTTGTGCAGGCCCAGCTGCTCAGAGGGTGGGCGGGGTTGGGGCGCCAGTGTGGCTTGGTGCTCAGGGGCAGCCTTCCCTGACCCCGCTCGCCCGCAGCTGGAAGACAGGCCCGTGGACGCCCTGCTCGGTCTCCTGTGGAGGTGGCACCCAGTCCCGCTCTGTCTATTGCGTGTCCACCGACGGGGCCGGCGGCCTGGAAGCCGCGGAGGAGGCCGCGTGTGCGGGACTGCCCCGGAAGCCGCCCGCTACCCAGGCCTGCAACCTGCAGCGCTGTGCAGCCTGGAGCGCCGGGCCCTGGTCCGAGGTGAGGCTGCGCGGGTTGGTGTCGGAGCTGGGCCTGGGGCGCGCCCCGCGGGAAGCGGGGCCCAAGCTGGGGCGGGCCGTGGGCGAGGCCTGGCCCGGGCCTGAAGCAGCAGCTAGGGGGCGCTGTTGGGCGCAGTGGGTGGGGCTGCTGGCCATCGCTTGCGGCACCCACACACGTTCAGGTTGCGAGTGAGGGGATCTGGGAACCCCCTGGGCCTGGCGTGGGCGCAGCAGCCTCTGTGGGCCCGAGGCAGGGGCGCTCCCGCTCAAGGCGGTTCTTGCAGTGCTCTGTGAGCTGCGGCGGCACCGGCGTGCGCAGGTGTAGGGTCGTGTGCGGGGGCTCTGCCGCCTGCCACGGCCTGTGGCCCCCCAAGGCCGGCCACCCACGCCGAGCTCTGTGTGCGTGCCGACTGCCCCCCCCTCAGTGACCAGGCCTGGCGCGTGAGTGCCTGGGGTCTGAGTGCGGCCCGCAGCTTCCCTGGGAACCCCTGCCTGTCTCCCTTGGGAGAACTCAGGGTGTGTCTGTCTCTCTCCGCTCCCATCCTGGATCTCAGTGCTCCAAGAGCTGCAACTCAGGCACTAGGAGGCGACAGGTCGTGTGTGCCACGGGGCCACCCAGCCACTGCAGGAGCCTGCGACAGCCGAGGCCGGCGGACGTGGAGCCCTGCAACACGCAGCCCTGCCACCTGCCCCCGGGTAAGGATACTTCCTACTTGGTCTCCATACCCCGCCCAGAGCCGGCTTGGTGTGTGCTGTGGACTGAGTCCGGAGGCAGGGAGTGTGTGCCTTTGATGTGCTTGCGGGAGCGACCCCGTGAGCAGCAGGGACCTCTGTGGGTGTGGCAGGGTGCCCAAGAACCAGTGCCACATGCAGTGGACAGTGGGCGTGGGTTCAAGTCCACTCCCGGTTGCTGGCCAGGTGCGTGGTCCAGGCAGGCACCTCTCCTCTCTGGCTCTGTTTCCCATCTGTACAAAGAGGTGAAAAAGAATGGCTGTCCAGGCTTGGGGTGGGTCTGCAGGGCGTGGAGTTTGAGAGGCAAGGGTGGCTGGTGGCTGGGGGGCTCAGCCTCAGGGACCATCCAAGGCCCTGGGGCGCCTCTGCCTAAGCTGGCCCCGGGGTCACCATCATCGGAAAAATGATCAAACTCCGAGGGGAGGGGAGGAGTTTCAGGTCAGGCAGAGCTGAGAAGGGAAGGCCCCTCATTGCTCTCCTACCTGCAAGCATACCGTGTGCCCGGTGGGGAACGCGCGGCGGAGCTGGGACAGTGGTCCACGGAGAGAAGCCGCAGTTGTCCTCACTCCCGGCCACAAGGACTTGCTGTTTGGTGCGTCGCCCTGTAGTGTGTGCGGTGCGCGTCTGTTCTGCCCCCCACGCTATCCTGGGAACGAAGTCTGGGGCTTCCACCGACGTCTGACGTGTCAAGTTTATTTTATTAAAAAGATATTATTTTAAAGGGTCCAGACCTAGGGCAGTGGACTGCAGTAAAAGTAGAGTCAGGTGTGTCATTTTAAATGTCCGAGAGCCACGTCTGGAAATGGGTACCATTTAGCCTGGTGGTGAAGACGCCTGCATCCCTTAGCATGGTGTCCGGGTTCCATACCTGCTTCTGGATCTCGGTTTCAGCTTTCTGCTAATGTGTGCTGTGGCGGGCAGCAGGCTGAGTCCCTGCCACCCGCACGGTGGATCTGAGTGGGGTTCCCAGCTCCAGAGAGGGTTCTGGGGCAGCTCCTGCTGCAGGTGCCTGGGGAGTGAACCAGCAGATTGAAGCGCAAGCACGCGCGCGCTCTCCCAGCCTGTCCGCAAAAAGAATTTAAAACATCGTCGATGGGATCTTTTGCATTCTCGTGTAGAAGATTTTTTCAAACTAGACTTTCAAACTGCATAGTGTGTACTTATAGCAGTCTCTATTCAGATGGTAAATTTTCACTGGAATACTCGGTCCTTGTAGATTTCGTGAGCCCAGGTTTGTGGAAGTGCCTGGACTTGAGTGTGGATGCAGGCCTTGGGCGGCAGCAGCATTTGGGTCCTTGCTGCCATGTGGGACTCCTGGGTCAGTTCCTGGGTTGAGTTTCTGGCTTCTGGCTTCCACCTGGCCATTGCAGTCATGTGGAGACATGTGGGGGTGACCGGAGATCTTTATCTCTGTCTTACAAATAAACAGGCAAATCTATTTTTTTAAGATTTATTTATTTTCTACTTGAGAGAGTTAAACAGAGAAAGGAGAGGTGTGTGTGGGGGGGGTCCTTCCATCCGTTGGTTCACTCTCCAATTGGCTGCAACAGCCGAAACTGTGCCGATCCGAAGCCAGGAGCTTCTTCCGGGTCTCCCACATGGGTGCAGGGGCACAAGGACTTGGGCCATCTTCCACTGCTATCCCAGGCCACAGCAGAGAGCTGGACTGGAAGTGGAGCAGCCGGGACTAGGACCGGCGCCCATATGGGATGCCGGCGCTTCAGGCCAGGGTGTTAACCCACTGCACTACAGTGCTGGCCACAAGAGGTAAATTTATATATCCAAGTTGTTCCAAATATACATGAATGTTTCCCCATAAATAAGTCAAGAATCCACTTTAAAATTTAAAATTCTTTGCAATTAAATGAAGCTGAAGCCGCGGTTCCTTGGTCACTCTCGCCATAGAGGTGATCGGCAACTCTGACACTAGTAGGGGCCCAGAGCTGGCCCTGAGGGGGGACCAGTCAGACGCTGGAGGGCCCCCGGCCTTGGCCCTTGGGTTACACCTGTCTCACAAGCCCAGGGCTGCCATTGAAAGCACTGCCACTAGAGGGCGACACCACGGATGCTCCCTGGGGGGACAGCAGGGGAGGGCTGTGTGCGGGGCCAGCCTGCAGGAGGCAGGTGGGGGGGGGGGGCGGAGGGCCTCTGTAGAAGCCGACGGCCTGGGGGGTTGTGGAAGACACATCTGGAAGACTCAGGTGTGCTCTGCTCTGGGTTTTGGCTTGGTTTTGAGAAATAGATTTTATCCCATACCTGTCAGTGTCTTCCAACCCCAAAATGGTGTTCTTACTATTCCATTCCTGGGGACTGGCAAGATGTGGTCCATGGGAATGGGGTAGCCACTCACCGCATCTTGGTAAGTTACATGCTTGTTGTGGAAAGTTTAAACAACACTAGGAGGGGGAAGGAAGGAGCTCCCTCCCCGGCACTCAGATTTTCAGCGCGGAGTGGGCGTGGCTTCAAGCCATGGCTCTGGTGTCTGATGCCAGCTTCCTCCGATGCAGACCTGGGACGTGGTGGTGGTGACTCGGGCGCTGGGCCCCTGCCACCCGCAGGAGAGACTGCAGGGAGTTCCTCGCTCCTGGCTTCAGCCCGGCCCAGCCTTGGCTGTGGGGTTGAGGAGGAAACCTGTAGATGGGAGAGCGCTGTCTGTCTCTCTGCGGCTCTCTCAAGGAAATTTTTCTTTTAGATTTATGTATTTGTTTTGAAAGAGACAGACACGGAAAGATCCTCCATCCGCTGGTTCACTCCCCAGATGGCTGCAATGGCCAGAGCTGGGCCAGGCCGAAACCAGGAGCCTCACCCGGGTCTCTCACGTGGGTGCAGGACTCCAAGCACCTGGGCCATCCTCTACTGCTTTCCCAGGTGCATTAGCAGGGAGCTGGATCGGAAGTGGAGCAGCCAGGACTCGAACCAGCGCCCATATGGGATGCCGGCACTGCAGGAGGCAGCTTTACCTGCTACGTAACGACTTTGGTGCTTTGAATACCAGTTTTAAGTTTATTTTTGAAAGGCAGAGAGACAGATCTTGCACCTGCTCGTTCACTCCTCAAATGCTAGCAAAAGCCAGGGCTGGACCAGATGCAGTCTGGGGGCTCAGCTCCATCTGGGCCTCCCTGGTGAGACAGCAGGTGTCCGGGTACTCGGGCCGTCGCCCGCTGCCTGCAAGCCTGCATTAGCAGGAGGGTGAAATCAGGGCTGAACTGGGACTGCAAGCCGGGTCCTCCGATACGGGACGCATGTGTCTCAAGCAGCGTCCTAGCCACTGTGCCCAATGTCCACCCCTCACGTAAAATTTTCAAGAGATCTAAAGGGGTGTGTAGTACAGCGGGCTAAGCTGTGCCGGCCCACCAGATCGGAGGGCCTGGGGTACAGCCCTGTCTCTGCCACTTCTCAGCCAGCTTCCTGCTAACGCGCCTGGGAGGCGGCGGGTCACGGCCCGTGGGGTTGGGTTCCAGCCGCCCCCGTCCTGTGGCCGCCCGATGCAGTCTCCGCTCCTGGCTTCGGCCTGCCCGGCCCTGGCTGCTGCAGACATTTGGGAAGTGCGCCAGTGATGTGAGCTCCAAGGCCTGCCTCCCTCTTTGTGTTTCTGTCTGTTGCTGTGCCTTTCAAATAAATAAGTAAAAAAATTTTAAAATGTTCCCTCAGCATTTTGGGATGCGTTCTACAAATTTCCTCTTCATGTCATTTAATCATTTTTTGGCTCAGTTTTCTCTACCTATCCTTCTGCATTTTCTCCAACATTTTATGATAAATCTTTTTAACAACTTTACTGAGGTTGTTTAATAAGTGTCACGTCCCATCCTTGTCACCCATTCTATTGGTCTAATCGTTTTTAGGACATTTGACAATTTGGAGACCAAGATGATAACTTTTTTTTTGACAGGCAGAGTTAGAGAGAAAGGTCTTCCTTTTTCCGTTGGTTCACCCCACAAATGGCCACAACGGCCGGCGCTGCGCCGATCCGAAGCCAGGAGCCAGGGGCTTCTCCTGGTCTCCCATGGGGTGCAGGGCCCAAGCACTTGGTCCATCCTCCACTGCCTTCCCGGGCCACAGCAGAGAGCTGGCCTGGAAGAGGGGCAACCGGGACAGAATCTGGCACCCCGACTGGGACTAGAACCCTGGGTGCTGGCACCACAGGCAGAGGATTAGCCTAGTAAGCCGCGGCGCCAGCCCAAGATAACTTTTAAGAAAAATTGAAAACATCTGGTGAGCAGTCACAGCCACCGTGTAGAAGGTGCAGTGAATTTTACTCTGCTTTCTCGGTGGTTTTTGCATCCTTTCATTAATCCAGTGTGTTTCCTGTGAGTTCTCCACTGCTCGGTGAAATGTATGTGATGTGCAGTTGACCTTTTTAAAAAACTGAGACAGAGATGGGCAGAGAGCAGCCATCTATCTGCTGGTTCACTGCCAGATGTTGGGAGCAGGGCGCCTGTTCGCTGAGCCTCACCTCTGCTGCCTCCCCAGCCTCACCTCTGCCCGGGGTGCACGCCAGTGCCGGGGGAGCATTCCCCGAGCCTCGCCTCTGCCCGGGGTGCACGCCAGTGCCGGGGGAGCGTTCCCATCGGCTCGGTGGCCTTGCGTACCTCCTTTGGAGAAAGGCCCCGGGTCTCGGGTCGCTTGCGCGGTATGAAAGCCGAGATGCCGCCGTCGTCCTTGCGGAGTCGGGGTCCCGGCACGGGGGCTGCTTTCATCCCCGCCGGCGTGACGACTCGGAAGCGGGGGACGGGTGTCTGTAGGAGGCGCCGGCCCGCTCCCCGCTGCCCAGGACTCACCCCCTGCTCTCCTCCGCCCCGCTCCCCGCAGAGGTCCCCAGCGTGCAGGACCCGCACATGCGCCCGAGCCCCAGGGAGCCCGGGGCGCCTTTGGGTCGGAGAGAGGCGCCCCCTGCAGGTGAGGAGCTGGGGGCCAGGCCCCGCCTCCCCGGGTCGTGCGTGGCGGAGGCGCCGGTCAAGGGTGGGGGTGGGACAGTGGCCAAGGGGAGTGGTCTGGGGGCGGGGTAGGGAGGCCTGCGAGGACACGGGGCGAAGTGGCGTGGTCAGCACAGCCTATGCATCCCCTCCTGTCCAGACACCAGAAACCAGCAGTGGGCAGCTCGAGAGCCACCGGGGGCCTGGGACGGTCCCAGGCGAGACTGGGGGCGCCGGCGGCCAGAGCCCGGCCCAGCCTCCGGCGCGCAGCCGCCCCCGAGGTCCCGCGACTGCAGGCACAGCCCCCACGGGTGCTGCCCCGACGGCTACACGGCGTCGCTCGGGCCGCAGTGGCAGGGCTGCCCCGGGCCCAGGGTCTCGTGCCAGCAGAGCAGGTGCGTGCCAGGGCGGGCAGGTGGGTTTGCCCAGCCCCCCACAGGACGCTGCCCTGGGGGTGTGCGATCCTGGCGGTGCAGTTGCTAAGCTTGTTGTTGCTGGGTGGGACACGGCCCTGCTGGGTGTGCAGGAGGCTGGGGGCCAGGGGCAGCTCAGGCTCAGAGCCCCTGGGAGGGGCTGGACAGGGGCTGGCCGGGTCCCCGCGATTTTCCCGACAGAGGGGCTGAGCCCAGCGTCCTCTCTATTGCTGGCCTCCTCCTGATAGCCCCTCCAGTCCCTCAGACACTGGGCCCAAGCCTCAGAGTCAGCAGCCTGGGGCTGATGTCTGGCCCGGCTGTGTGCTGATCACCGTGGAACAAGTTACTTAACCTCTCTGATCTTGGCTTAGAACTGGAAACACTGGCAGCCTTGGGGTGGAGTTACCCTGAGGAGGGACTAAGTCCCAGGGTGCTGGCCCACAGAAGGTGCTTGGATGTAAATGGTGGGGTGCTTTGAACCCTCTCTTCTGCCCCATCTGCTGCTATTTTTTTGTAACATCTCCCCTGGGAACCCGACTTTTGGACAGGCTTGGTGCTGAACTCCCCCTGTTGGTTTGGTGGGGGGCCGTGGGAGTTGAGGAAGCTCTGCTATGTCCCTGGTGGCTGCTGGGGGTGGGTGGGGCCCGGGGCAGGCAGAGCAGAGTGCCCAGAGGCCCCTTTTCCGGCCCGGGGCCTCGCCTGGTTGGCTTCCCCACAAAGGGCACCTGGTTGCTGGGGTACTGGTGGAGCCTCCGGGGCCCTGTGCTGTCTGCCTAGGTACGGGTGCTGCCCCGATGGGGTGTCTGTGGCCCAGGGGCCCCAGCAGGCTGGCTGTGAGAGACCCTACGGCGGCGGGGACAGCCGTGGGAGCAGACCAGGGTCCAGGGCGGCGGCTTCTGCAGTGAGTGTCTGACTCGTGTGTGTGAAGGGGGCAAGAATCGAGTGCCTGAGCCTGCCCAGTGTCCTGTCACCCAGCGCTGGCTTTGGAGGAGGGAGGTCCCCGTGAGCCTGTGGGCTTAGACCATCCTCTGGCGTGGGGCAGGGCCTCAGCGACGGGCTGGCCTGGGGCAGGGGCTTCCTCCAGCACGCTCTGGCCTCTCATCCACTCCCTGTGCACCTCAGGCCCACAGTTCTGTCCCTCCATCAAGGGCAGCCCCGTTCCCCACTTCCCAATCCTGGGCTTCCTCCCCAGGTCCCCAACGCCCACTGGCCCCAGGCCCAGCAGAGCGAGCCCAGTGCCTGCCGGGGCTCCCAGTTTGGCTGTTGCTATGACAACGTGGCCTCCGCCGCAGGCCCCCTGGGGGAAGGCTGCGTGGGCCAGCCCGGCTACGGTGAGTGCATTCCCTCCCCCCCCCCAGGGTGCACGCTGGTGCCGCTGTGCCCCCACCCACTGTGCGACCTCATGGCCAGCTCTGTTGGATTTCTCTACGCGGAGTCGCTGAGCGCCTGCCTACTGGGTGCCAGGCCGAGCGCATGCTGGCTGATCTGCTGTCCAGACTTTGCGCCAGGGGCCTCTGGCTGCTTGCGGGAACTGGGAGCGTGGCACGGGTATCCCAAGAGATGACAGGACCAGCTGGGCAGGGGTGTCCTGACCTTGCCTGGGGATTGGGGCACGGGGGAGGCAGCAGGAGCTGAATCTTGAGGGAGGGCGGGGGCTGGGGAGGCCACCGAGGCTGGAGCACTCGGAGTATGACTACAGCTGCCTGGGACCTCAAAGGCCGGACGAGCTGGTGGTCAGGGCTGGGCACCCAGACAGGCAGCCACGTCAGATCTGGGCAGGTGGAGCTGGCGAGGAGGGCTGTCAGCTCGGCAGACTGCGGGCCACGAAGCATCCAGGGGACAAGGGTGGGCTCCTTGCTGGGTGTCTGCAGGTCCCAGGTTATAGGGAGTTCCAGGGCAGGGAACCCATCATTCTAAGCCTGGCAAGGTCAGGCTTGGGGCTACTCTGTGTGCACCCCAGGTGGTTCAGGGCCAAGGGGACTCAGGGCAGGGCAGCCCAGGGAGCCCTGGCCTGTTGGAGGGCTCTAGTTCTGTGCACAGAGGCCACTGTGGCCCCAGCCTGGGGCGAGGCTGCATGGTGGACAGCCTGGTGGACATGCCCTTGTGTCCCCAGGGCAGAGGCAGGGGTGGGCCTGGGTGCTGGGGCGGAGGGGAGGGAGGTGGGTGCAGCGTGATGATAGGTGTCCTTCTCCCCCACCCCCAGCCTACCCTGTGCGGTGCCTGCTGCCCAGCGCCCACGGCTCCTGCACAGACTGGGCGGCCCGCTGGTACTTCGTTGCCTCAGTGGGCAGATGTAACCGATTCTGGTATGGTGGCTGCCATGGCAACGCCAATAACTTCGCCTCGGAGCAGGAGTGCATGAGCATCTGCCGAGGGCCTCCAGATCCGGGGGCCTCCGGCCAGGGCACCCACGCGGAGGGTGCCGGCACCGGTCCCAGAGGCCAGCAGGAATACGGCTGGCACAGGACGGGGGACACGGTGCCGGGAAAGCCTTTGGCTTCTGGTGGTCTCTGGCGGCCAGACCAAGAGCCTGGCCCTGGGCAGGCCCCTCACTCCCAGGCCTTTGGAGAACGGCCCTGGGACCAGGAGCATGGGTCCAGGGCCCCTGGAGCAGGCGGAGATGCTGGACGGTCAGCGCGACCCTCTCTCAGCCCCTCCCACAGGTGAGGCCCACCCTTCCCAGGTAGGGGGATTAGGGTGCCCGGGCCCAGGCTGAGCCTGATGGAGCTAAAACCTTGAAGTCAGCTGGCCCTGCCCCCTACTCCCGACTTGTAACTCTCCAGGCGGGGGCCTGGTCAGCCCCATTCTATAGATGGGGGCACTGAGGCCTGAGACAGCAGACTCGTCTCATGCCGGACAGCGAGGCAGCTGGGGCTCCTGAATCCTTGATGGGGTTTGCCAGTGTCCCCCGGCCGCCTCGCTGGATAAGCTTCCTGGCTTTGCGACCTTTGGCAAGTTGCTCAGTATCTGCCAAGCCTCAGCTTCTTGATCCAGCATGTCTCACAGGTCACAGATGGGGTGCCGTTCATTATTCTCTTGGGACTGGGTTGTAGTGATTATGGATTTGGGAAGATTAAAAACCCAAACTCTGAATCCCCGCAAGGTCAAGTGTGTAATTCAGCCCCCACGTGAACATGCGGGCTCTGTGCCTGGCTTGCACCACCTGTGGCCGTTGCAGGGGTGGGCTGCAGTGGCAGTGCCAGGACATGGGGGAGGCTGACGGTGTGGGGGGGTATCTCCCAGTTCCTGGGCTTCCAGGGCTTGGCCCACAGCTGCCTGTGGCATAGCAGGCAGGCACCAAGCTAACCCTTGTTGTGGTGCTGTGGAGTGGTGACCGGTCATGGCACTCAGCTGTGGGCAGACCCTTCCTTCCCACCTCTCCACGGTCAGCTTGGCAGGCTCAGGGCCCTTCCTGGTGCAGGCAGCCCTGGGGCAGGTGGTCCAGCTCTTCTGCCCGGGGGACTTCTCTCCAGCGCCCCAGGCTGTGTGGCAGAAAGATGGCCGGCCCGTCTCCTCTGACAGGTGTGTGTGAAATGATAGTCACATCCCACCCCACCCCCCGAAGCGTGTGTGCTGGTCCCCTCCGCCCCGGGATGGCTGTGGGAGTGGGCTCAGAAGTGGGCTGTGGGCTGCAGACCTGGGGGAACGCTCACTGTTACCTGCAGGAGCCCAGACCTATGTCTCCCCACTCTGCCCATTCAGGCATAAGCTGCAGTCCGATGGCTCCCTGGTCATCAGCCCACTGCGGGCAGAAGACGCAGGCAGCTACAGCTGTGCCAGCGCCAGGCCAGGCCGCGACTCCCAGACAGTCCAACTGCGCATCACAGGTCTCCTTCCCCACCCCATCTACCGCTTGGTTCTCAGGGCCTCAGGGTGGGAGGGACCGGGCTGGTGTGCCCCTGCACTAGAGAGATCGGGAGGGCTTCTGTGGGTCACTCCTGGCGGCCCTCACTTCTTGCACGTCCCCTGCTGGCCGTGTGGCCCTCCCTCTGTCTACGGCTCCCCACAGCTCACCCCTTCCTTCTTCTGGACTCACTACAGGGGGTGACGTGGCCATGCCCTCTGAGGCCGAGCAGACGCGCTTCCCTCAGACCAGGGACCCAGCCCAGGGCCACAGGCCTCAGGCCTCCAGCCTGGGAGGGGATGCCAGGGGCCAGGGGACTGTCCCCGCCTCACACCCACGGCCTGCAACCAGGTAACAGCAGTGCCAGCTTGCTCTTAGCGCCTCCTGCCTGAGGACCTGGAGGGGTGGAGGGCCTGTGGGAGGGGGAGGTGTGGCCCCTTGCTGGTGAGGAAAACAAGGCTCCCTGAGCTGATCCTTCCATGTAAGGGAAGCCCCCAGCCCCCAGCCAGAGGGAAAGGTGCATCGCCCCAGGCCTGGGGCTCTGGAGCCCACAAGGGACGAGCGGCTGGAGGAGGGACGGTTTACAGAGGGCAGGTGGAGGGCTGCCCAACGCAAGGCCCTCGTGGCGGTGGCTTTTAGACCGGCCCCCGGCCCTGCATCTTTCTACGGTGTCCCAACCAGAGCCAAGGGGATTTCAGGAAGCTGAATCTGGCAGAGACAGAGAAGGCGCACGAGGCTCAGGTCCCCGCAGGAATGGGGGAGGCAGCAGCAGGGGCCCCTCGTGGCTGAGCGTGCCTTGTTTTGCAGGCTGCGTCTGGACCAGAACCAGCCCAGCGTGGTAGAGGCCAGTGCAGGGCAGCGGGTTCGGCTGACCTGCCACGCGGAAGGCTTCCCGCCCCCAACTATCGAGTGGCACAGAGACGGACAGCCCCTCTCCTCTCCCAGGTTTCCTCAGCTCCTCTCCTTCGCTCCCCTTCTGCCTCCAGCCCTACCTCAGCTGTGGATGCTGCCACCCATCAGTGCTGGGCAGGACTGCAGGGGTCCCTGGGGCTGGCCTGTATTTGCATCCTGGGCCTTTTCTGAGTGAGGCTGGCTCAGAGGTGTGGCTGCAGCACTGCTCACACACAGGGTACACACCGTACTGTAATCTGCAAAGGAGCCTCATTCCGAGGTAGGGGCTAGCCCGCCTTTGACACGTAGGAGCTGTGTGATGTTGAACTTCTAAGTTGTAGAACTAAATGAGCATAGCAAACACTAGAAACTCAAGTCAGAAATCATTGTAAGAAAATTTTGAAATGATTTAGTAGGCTTAAGCCTTTTTTTTTTTTTTTTGACAGGCAGAGTGGACAGTGAGAGAGACAGAGAGAAAGGTCTTCCTTTTGCCGTTGGTTCACCCTCCAATGGCCGGCGCGGCTGGTGCGCTGTGGCCGGCGCACCGTGCTGATCTGATGGCACTTATCTTGGTCTCCCATGGGGTGCAGGGCCCAAGGACTTGGGCCATCCTCCACTGCCCTCCCGGGCCACAGCAGAGAGCTGGCCTGGAAGAGGGGCAACTGGGACAGCATCCGGCGCCCTGACCGGGACTAGAACACGGTGTGCCGGCGCCGCAAGGCGGAGGATTAGCCTAGTGAGCCGTGGTGTCGGCCGGCTTAAGCCTTTTTGGAGGATATTAAAGTGCTGGCAGCTGGTCAGTGTACGGCCCACCACCCTTTGACCTGACCCCAGTGAGCAGGGGCTGCTCAGGCTCTCCCAGGGACTAGAAGATTCTTTCTTCCCCGCCCCCATGCCAGCCCTCACAACTGACTGCTTGGTTCTCAGACACCAGCTGCAGCCTGACGGCTCCCTGGTCATCAGCCACGTGGCTGGGGAAGATGATGGCTTCTACACCTGTGTTGCTTTCAATGGGCAGGACCGAGACCAGCGATGGGTGCAGCTCAGAGTTCTGGGTAAGGTGGCAGTCCTTCGAGGTCACACAGTGGCCCGGGAGGGGCATGATCTACACGGGGGCTGACGACATCTGCTCCTCATGTCCAGGGGAGCTGACAATCACAAGGCTGCCCCCTACCGTGACAGTGCCAGAGGGCGACACAGCCAGGCTGCCGTGTGTGGTAGCAGGGGAAAGTGTGAACATCAGGTGGTCCAGGTAAAGTTCTCCTTAAGGCACTTCCTGCCCTCAACCCTCACGGGCTCAGGTCAGTGTGGTCCACTCCGCCGGGGTGTCACTGTCAATACCACCTCCACCCTCTTCTGTCTGGTCACCACGACAGGGCCTGCAGTCCCTTCATCTGACATAATGGAGCTCTGTAAGTCTGCTTGCTTTTCCATTTGGTTTTTGAAATTTTCATGAGAGCGTGCATACCTAGCTGCTGGTTTATCCCCCAGATGTCTGCAGCAGCCAGGGCTAAAGCCAAGAGTGTGATCCAGGTCTCCCCCTGCGTGGCAGGCACCCTATCACTTGGGCCATCACTGCTCCCTCCCAAACATCAGTACTCTGATGGTAGGATCCAGGCATCTTAACCTCGAGACGCCCAGCCCGCCCTGGGATTTCTTACCTTAGCACTACTGGCGTTTTGGGCTGGCCGAGTGTGGGTTGCCGAGGGCTGTCCTGCACGTTGCCCAACAGCATCTGGGGCATCTACACACCAGATGCAAGTAGGTAGCTCCCCGCCCCTCCCCCATCCTTGGTCTTTAGTTCATTTATTCAGCAAAGAATTCTCTGCCCCTTCTTCCTTGGGATGTGTCCGGATCAGGCTAGGTTCTGGGGATCCCGGGGCACTTCCAAACAAGGATGGCCCAGCGTCTCAGGAGCAGAGCGTGAGGCTGCTTTGGGGCTTGGGAGAGTCAAGCAGAGTGGCCAGGGCAGTGACATTGGGCTTTTTTTTTTTTTTTTTCTTGATAGAAAGGTCTTCCTTTCGTTGGTTCACCCCCCAAATGGCTGCTACAGCCAGAGCTATGCTGATCCGTCTCCCACACGGACGGGTGCAGGGGCCCAAGCACTTGGGCCATCCTCCACTGCCCTCCCAGGCCACAGCAGAGAGCGGGACTGGAAGAGGAGCAACCGGGACTAGAACCCGGTGCCCACATGGGATGCAGGCGCCGCAGGTGGAGGATTAGCCAAATGAGCCATGGCACCAGCCCCGATGTTGGGCTTCAATGCTGGGGAGGGGCAAGGCCCTTCTTGAGATGCTGGGGGAGAGAGGTGCTGGGTTGTAGAGGTTGGCGGCCTCTCATGTGGCCTTGACGCTAGGGCAGGCAGCGGGGCGCTGCTGGAGGTTGCCCAGCTGGTGTGCTAAGTCCAGTCCTACTCAGATCAGAGCTTGTCGGGCCTTTCGTCTGGATTTTCCCAGCAGCCTACGTGCTCAGGGCTGCCTTCTTCCAAACAGTAAGTACCCTCCTTTGAGTCTGCTCTGCTGTGAAGGGGAGACACTAAACACAAGGTCTGCAGACAACATCCTGGTTGTCGCCACCTGTCCTCTCCCTACTTCACAGCCGGTGCCCCAAGCACACTGCCCTGGTCAAGGCCACCAACTGGCTCCCTCTTTCTCACTCCACCAGACACGTCTCAGTCCTAAAAAGTCTCACGGCGTCTGAGTGCTTGCTCCTCGCTGGGGCAGGTATTTGAGATGCCCACATCCCAGGTCTGAGTGCCTGAGTTTGAGCCCTGGCTCTATTCCCGATTCCAGCCTCCTGCTAATGCACACCCAGGAGGCAGCAAGGGATGGCTCAAGTACTTGGGTCCCTGCCACCCATGTGGGAGACCTGGCTCCATGCTTCAGGCCCCAGCAAGGGACTGTTGGGGGCATTTGGGGAGTGGTGTAGCAGGTAAGATTCTCCCCCGCTCTTCCAATACCAAAACACTCCTTTGGTTCCAGAAAACCACCCTGTCTGGTATGGCTCAGGATGGACCCTCGGTCCTTGATTCTGCACCCTCCACCCAGACCATCCAGTGCTGATATAATCTGGGTCAGGACTCTCTTGAGTTCAAGTCTGACCCTCCTGCTATCTCATAGGAACCCCTAATTCAAAATGGTGGAAAGTAACCCAACCCCGCCCCGGATTGCCCCAGGGGGGAGAGGCAGCCCTGTTACCTGGTAGCCAAGCCCGAAGCCTTTGCCGTTTCCTCCCCTTCTCTGCCTCTCACATCCCACTCTCACCCCCACCCATGTCCCTTTTCCTCCCTGTGTCACCTACCCTGTATGTGCCATTGCAGCCACCACTTGCCTGGTCTCCCTGCTTGGTGAAGCATCTCTGACCCGCAGGAGCCCACCCAAATTCCTCGCGAAGCCGGACTCCCTGCTAGCTGGCTCCTGCCCTCTCTAGCTTCCCCTCGTACACGTCCTCCTCCTGCCTCCACCATGACCTTCTTTCAAGCATCTGTGTTCCAGTCACCCTCCCTGTCCGCTGCAGCCACCGCCCCTCCTGCCCAGTGCCTTGGCCAACCATCTGGTTCAGGAAAGGCTCCCCTAAGTCTGCACCTCTGGCCGCCCCAGTGCCCTGGAGACAGGGAGTGCCTGGGGCTTCCGTGAGTTCAGTCAGCACAGGGCCTGTGAAAATGAGGAGCAGGACTTCTCTGTGGGGAGGAGGCAGACTTACAGCGACTTAGATCAGTGTGCTTAGTTTGTGACTTTATCTTACTTGAATTATTGTGTGTTGATCTTTTTGGTGCTTCTGTCCTATCTCTTCCTTGCAAGGGACTGTTGGCCCTGCGATAGCTCGTTTGCCTCTCCTTAGTGTCTCCCAGGCACTGTAGGGCCTGAAGACCAGAGGCCCAGGATGGCTATCCCAGTGTCTTCTCCCCTCCAGGAATGGGGTGCCGGTGCAGGCCGATGGTCACCGTGTCCACCAGTCCCCAGATGGCACGCTGCTGATCCGTAACTCGCAGGCCAGGGATGAGGGCTCCTACACGTGCAGTGCCTACCGTGGGAGCCAGGCTGTCAGCCGCAGCACCGAGGTGAAGGTGGTCACCCCAGGTAAGCACGGCCTGTCTGTGGTGGTGGAAGGGTGTGTTCTCCAACGCCCTTGCTCACGCTCAAGGACTGGTTGTGTGCTGGGAGGTGGGGGTGGTGCAGGCTCTGCCCGTTCTGGTAGTGTGACTTGGGGCAAGGGGCCTCGCTTTCCTCCTTGCTCGGGGGGGCCGCAGTAAGGAAGAGGAGGAAGGAAACATGCTTGCGCTGGGCACGTGCGGGCAGCCTAACAGACGCTGAGGATTGCCATTCAGGCTTACTGATTCTACTGTGAAGTACGATCGGAATTTCAATATTATAAATCAAGGCATTCCAGTCAGGGTGCAAAGTTTTCCTTTGGTAGAAGAGCCCTCCTGGCCACTGGACCATGTGACCAGAGAATCTCATCACCATTTCACAAAGGAGCTTAAGTGATGTAGCCACCAGTTACACGGCAACGTGGTGGCCTGGCTGGACTAGAACCCAGGTCTCTGACTCTGTGTATTCAGTAATTTGATATTTTAGCCTTATTCATCAGCCCCTGCACGCTAAGTTATAATTTAACAGAGACATCACACTCTAAGATGCAGTATTTTCATACCACCGAGGAAAAGTGCTGCAGTGCTTAAGACAACATGGTCGACTGAGCAAAGACCAATCTGAGGTGTGGAAATACGTGCATCTCGGAACTGATCAAACATGGTTAGAGGTTCCAGCTTGCAGGAGCTCTGTGTTCAGATGAACCAGGAAGAGAAGCAAGGGGGCTTGGTGCACTCCCAGCCTCTCTCCCACGGGTCCTTGGTCCTGGTTCTCTCAGGCCTGATTTGGACCCTGCGATTCCTCACAACCCATAGCGGGCGTGCTCGTGCACAGAGTGGGGCCTGGCTGCCTCCTCCCAGCTGTCCAGCTGCTGCTATGGTCGGAATGTTGCTTTGGCCTGGAACAGACAAGTAGCCTTCAGCTTGTGAGCTGCAGCGGGCAGTGGCTCGGGGCCCCAAAAAGCTGCTCTGATGCTTGCTGCCTGAAGGACAGGTGCGCAGGGATGACGGTGTTGCCCTCGCCTTACTTCTCACCTCCACTGTGTCCCACGGTTTGGTCTCCTGTGCACGCACTGACCAGACTTCCTGAGAGGGTCCAGACGTTCACATGTGACCAGCTGTAGCGCTGTGTGCCCTTCCCAGGCCTCCGGCGGGCCAGTGCTGTCGATCCCAGCAGCTGTCCTCCTCCTCTCTCATCTGCATTTCCTCACTGATCGGGCTGCAGATCTGCTCTCACCATTGGTTTTGCAGGGGTCACAGAGCATGGAATTGCAGTGGCAGCACCTTCAGGGTGGGACTTGGGCCAGTCATGCTCTGCAGTTTCATGACTGTTTTGTCCCAGAGTGGAGTAAGGACCTGGAAATACCGTAGGGATAACATGGCCAGTGTAACTTTTTTAAATGAGGGGGAACTATGTTGTAGGGTAAAAGAGCAGAGTTAAGCACTCGGATTTTAGCCCTGTTACTGTGCATCCCAGGAGCTGCTTTACATGCTTGATTTAGCGTAACTCATTCAGTTTTTATCGCATCCCTTTGTTTCTTTCATTTGAATTGGAGATAGTACTCCAAAGGCACAGAGAGCTTCAGTAACTTGCCCCAGATACCCAGCTGGAGAGCGACAGAGACAGGACTGAAACCAGGCAGTCTGGCTCCACAGCTCGTGTTTGCAACCATGGTGCCAAATGCTTGCTGTGACAGACTCGGGGGCTGTAAGAGCTCAGGTCGGATTCTAGTGACAATATACGTAAGTGGCTTTGCCATTTGTGTAAACGCACATAGGTGGTGCTCTGGCTGTACCACAGAGCAAGCCTTTGCTAAGGGCATCCACTGCTTACGTCTGATTTGGGGACACTCTGGGTGAGCAAGGGGGAAGAGGATGAAAAGGAGCTTTGCCCTAGAGGTCTGATGCTAGGGAAGATGCCGCTCGAGCCGAAGCCACAGTCAGTCCTAGAAAAGCTCACTGATGTCACTTGAGTTGTAAGATGAAGCAGTAGGATGAAACTCTGAACAGGGAGTTCCAACACACATAAGGCTGCTTATACATCCCAATAAGGGATTCCTTAGCACCTCAGTTCCAAAACCATTTTCCTATCACTTTGGCTAATATGCACTGCTCTCTCTGGGAAGTGGAAAAATTAGCTCCCCATCTTTCCAAGTGATTGCAATGCTGGGGATTTTGGAAGCACACAACTCTTGGGGTTGGAGGAAGCCAGCAGTCAAAGGGAGAACCTCACTCAGCTCTCGCTAACTCAAGACGCTACTTTTAGCTGGTCCTACCTGCCCTTCCTCAGTCCACAGGCTGATGCAGTTGTCATTCAGCGTCCCAGGTCTCAGTAGGAAAGGCAGGGAATTAACTTGAGATGTTTCATCATCCATTCAGTATTTGGGAGTCTGGGAAGGGCTGTGCCCAGGCATAAGAGCAAGGAGGACCGCTGCATGCTGCAGTGAGGCCAACAACGGGGCGGGAATCAGCTTCTCAGAGCTGGTGCACGCAGGTGTGAAGAGGTCCCAGGGCAACTTTGGCTTGAATGTGGTAGTGCCAGTGCTGCTTTCCTTTGAAGGAGATGAAATGGCAGACTAAGGGTCTTCAGCATACAGAGCTTCCTTGTCTCTCTCTCTCTCTCATGTTCTGCAGCCGCTGCCGCCCAACCGAGGGACCCCAGCACAGAGTGCATTGACCAGCCAGAGCTGGCCAACTGCGATCTGATCCTGCAGGCCCAGCTCTGTGGCAACGAGTATTACTCCAGCTTCTGTTGTGCCAGCTGTTCACGGTTCCAGCCTCACGCTCAGCCGGTCTGGCAGCAGGGATGAAAGCTCCCTTCAGCCCTGGTTCTAAAATAGTTCTTAGGGCCGGAGAGAAGGGCAGATGGACTTCCTGGCTGGCTAGCAAAGGGGGTCATCTTCTGGAGACACTGGCCCTTTCGAAGCCCGCCCAGTGTTCAGCCTCAGCAGCAGCCAGTACCGGCCTCCCCATGTAGTGCTCAGCAGTGTGTTGTGTCTGCCATAACCACAGGCTACTAAGATGTCAAGAGGATGACTGTGGGTAAGGGTGAAGTTCACTTTGCAGTCCCCATGTAATTGTTACAGGCGGAGATGGTTGGGATCAGAACCGTTTCAGATTCTGGAACATGTGCATAGACCATCCCAGTTGAGCACCCCTAACTCAAAAAATCGAACTCTCTGAACTGCAACTTCTTGAGTGCCAGGATGAAACTCAAAAATCTTCGTCACTTCAGAAAATTTTTGAATTACGGATGTTCAACTGATGGACAGAAATCAGTTTCCTGTGCTTTTAAAGTAACTTGCCAGGGAGGCCTGGAATGAATTCTGAGTTAACATTTGTCTTATAAGGGGAATGCCAACTGCTGTATCAAGGAAGTATAAGGAATCTTCAAAAAGTTAATGGAAAGTACATATTATAAAAAAACTACGTGTGGACTTCAGTTTCTTGGGGCACCAAAATAAACTTTTAAATTCTATGTTCCATGAACTCTCCGAAGCTGTCTTACATTCTGTGCCACAACTCTGTCTCATGTGGGGTCAGTCTCTCTCACCTGTCTAGGTAGTGCCAGTCAGTCCTGTGCACTGATGGGGATAAAGCTATCAGCATGATGCTGGGAGAGCTCAGAAAGTGGAACACAGCGTAGGGCACAGAACCAAGAGCCGCAGGGAGCACTGTGACCTGAGCTCAAAGGACTGGAGAGCTCCTTCCTCCAGCGGGAAGCTGGACCCACACCAAGTGCTGTGATGGGTCACCTGCACGAAGCCCACCAGCCTGCTCTGTAGAGCGGCAGTGGAGACTCCTCCTTAAGTAGCAGAGAAAAATCAGACTAAACAGCATTAGCAGGAGAGGGATACCAAAACAGTAGGCTTGGATTCGGTAGCTTTCAATCTTCGACCAACCCGCCAGAGGAGTGTCTAGTAAAGTTATTTTGGATAGGACCAAACCTTTGATAGGTGGACTTTCATTATCTGGAAAACAAATTGTGTCACTAGGTGAGTGATACTTCTTGGCTTACTTCTCCATTCAGTAAAAGAAAATACGGGTCAGGGCATAGGTGTTTTTTTTTTTTGGCCTATTATAAAAAATACTGAGGAGCACCCCTTTGCTAGTTTTGCTATAGAAATTGGGAAATAAAGGCCATTTGCTTGGACATCTCAGTTTAATGAAACTAGAATTTTACCTGCTGTCACATAGACACACTTCAGGAAGTCGAGGCTGGCCTGCTGGTTGCAGGTGGCCTGCTCAGAACTAGTCATGGAACAGTGCCTTAAAGTTAGAGGGAGAATAAAACTCTAGACCTGTGGTTCTCAATCCTTTCCCATACTGGGAACTTAAGACAAACCCTGAAGCTGGGGCTGCTCCCTCCCTCCATATTCTAACTGGTCTGGTGTGTAGGACAGGCATTGGGATTTTAAGTTTCCAAGATGATTCTAACATGTGGCCAAGGTTGAAAAGCGCTGCTTGAAGCCCTGAGGTGTGCCTGGGATTCTAACCAGCTCCCACATCAAGTCCATGCTGCTGTTCATACCACATTTTGAGCAGCAAGAATCTGACTTGAGAGAGATCTACTCAGAATCAAACAAACCTAAAGTATGAATGAAAATTCAAATTTTAAGGATATACTAATCCCAATAAAAGACTCTGTAATACTAGGGACCTGCAGCAGCAGCAGAATTAAGAAGAAAAGTAAACTCATTTGCCAATACAGGAAAGGGGAAACACCAGCCCTTTATGGGCAAGAGCTTCTACCACGAACATTTATTTTTGTTAAAGCAGATTATAAATTCTCATCAGTACAAATATATATATATAACTTACATTTGATTGTAAGGCCAACGTTCAAAAGTAAAAATGAGATGGGATTACACATTACCCGAGGTCAGCTGGCAATGGGACGTTCTGCTCACCAAAAGGGGGGGCAGCGGACACACAAAGCTACCAAAACCAGAATTCCCATCCCCACAAAACCTGGAGGAAAAAAATTTAAAGGACAAAACAAAACCCACCAGGACTGACATTACAAACCAAGACAGGAACCTGCATTCCCTTCTACGGATGTGATTATGTCATTGTCACCTTAGTGTTAAAGGACTAACATAAGGAAATTGCAGCAATATATAAAAGATAATATTCTCTATAGAGCATATTTAGATTGATTGCATTAAAATAATGACATTACATTTTCATCAGTTTTAAAACCAGGACAATACTGCTGTTTCACTGTCTTTAAAACTACAGCCTAGTGACGGTGTTGGTCACAAGCATGATTGTTGCTGCAGCGTGCTACTCACAATGAATTCAATCTCAAACAAGCTAGGGATCCATCTGTGACTTCTGACGCTCTTTTTATTTCAATAGGCATCAATGATAAATCAATCTTATATACAATTTCTTACAACTAACCCTTTTACTTTTGGCAAGATTACTTACAACTCATACAAGTTTTTAATATTGAGAACTATTTAAAATATTCTAAATGCATAAAAATAAAGATTTTGGCTTTTTGATATATATATATATATTTATAATATTTAATTCTGTTACCCAAAATGGAAGCTTAACTTTACCCCCACAGTATAGCTCTGCTGGGCAGTTGCTGATGTGGCCTCCCAGGAATTCTGGCAGCACAGCCTCTCTGTTCCCAGCTAGAGCACAAACGCTCTGTTCTCGTCTCTAAGACAGACCAGTACTGAGAGGAGGCAGGTGAATGGCCTGGAAAACAAAAGGGAGACTGTTTTGCTTCCCATTGTGTTTCATATCCCAGTAAATGTGCTTTGAATGTAGATTTCTATTCAGATACTTCTGCCTCTCTGCCACCAGAGATCTGTAAGGGCACGAGGGAGGAGAGGGTACAGAGGGCACGCCCTTGATTTCTTTAGCCTACTTCCAAGACAGGCTTCTCTAGGAATGGTTTTCCCCTCTTCTTTCAAAATCATCCCTCACTGTACTCTGTGCCTGGACTTGTTCCTGGGGACTTTTTGGGGTTAGTGAAAAGTGTCCTGATCAGGAAGACAAAGGCTCCTTTGACCTTTCTACCCCTTCGCCTAAGTATGGACAAGATACATGAACCATAGAGATTGCTTAAAGTTCAATTTCAAATGTCTTCTGCAAGTCACTGGAGAAAGGGTTGGTAGGGGAGGGATTAGTACGCTGCTTGGACTTGCTTTCTAATGCAGCCCACTGAGCTTCAAAAGGATCCACTGTACAGGTGCCTGCAGGAATCTCCGTGTGCTTGTCTCCTGAAGCCAACCTGCCATTGTCTACACCATTGAAAGCTGCAGAGCCGTTGAGGTGCTGAGCAGGAGGCTTAAAGAAGGGACTGGCAGTAGCACTGCTTGACTCGTACTGCGGGAATGTCTGCTGCTTGGCCAAGCTGGGTGACTGATGGGGGAGCACAGCCTGGGGATGGCCTGCAGTGCCAAACATGTTGGCTACCATCTGGGAGGGAGTCATGCCCACCACAGGCACATTAGGGGCCGGATAGGACATCCCATTGGCCACAGGATAGGTCTGGGCAGGGACAAAGGCTGGCTGCAGGGGTGGGACCACACCCATTGGCACAGGTTGAGAGGTAAGGAATGCATTCCCTTGGAAAGGTGGTGCTGGTTGGGAGATGGCAGTGGGTGGAGGATGCTGGAGAACTGGCTGCAGAGGGGCAGCCGCGGCCTGGGGCTGCTGAGCCCGGACACTCTTCGACACCTCTTCTAACCAGCGGTCAGCCTCAGAGGGAGTGCGTCTGTGACCAGCCTGGAAAAGACCTGGAGAGGCAGCACCAGATGATTGACTCCATTCGGTCCCTGGAAACAAGATGAAAACAGACAAAAGAATCAGAATTAGAGGCTTCATTCATTAGCTTACAACTTTGGTATCTGAATGATCCTAACATTTGGAACAAGTCCTCCTAATGTACTTGTTGTGGTTTAGGTAAGAGGAAATTATCTATGTGATCAGCAAAGGAGATTTTGTGATAGAACAAATAGAACTCATTATATCATGACATTGTGTCAGCCACACTGAGAAGCTGTCTAGATAAGGCTCCAATGTCCTCAGCCAGCCAAAGCAGCTGACTGTTGGCAGAAACCCTCTCTGATGCCATGACTCCTCCACAGTACACAAGTTTTTTTTTTTTTTTTTTTTTTTTTTTTTTTTTTGACAGGCAGAGTGGACAGTGAGAGAGACAGAGAGAAAGGTCTTTCTTTGCCGTTGGTTCACCCTCCAATGGCCGCCGCTGCAGCCGGCGCACCGCGCTGATCCGATGGCAGGATCCAGGATCCAGGTGCTTTTCCTGGTCTCCCATGGGGTGCAGGGCCCAAGCACCTGGGCCATCCTCCACTGCACTCCCTGGCCATAGCAGAGAGCTGGCCTGGAAGAGGGGCAACCGGGACAGAATCCGGCGCCCCGACCGGGACTAGAACCTGGTGTGCCGGCGCCGCAAGGTGGAGGATTAGCCTATTGAGCCACGGCGCCGGCTCCACAGTACACAAGTTAACATGCACATGCTCTATAGGCCTGAGGTGATTCCTCTTTGCTCAAACAGGGCAAAAAGAAAATAACCAGTGGTCCAGCCAAACCTTGCTGACACATGTCTGGCTTCTAGACAGACCTATGTTGTCTTTCTGGTGAAATGCCTATGTCTTATTACTGTTCTCCAACTTTTTGGCTTTAGAGTTAATATTCATTACAGAAACTAAGAAGCAGAAAAAGGCAAAAAGTACTTTTTGTAGCATTTTGCCAGGCCTGCCATTCCAAGAGGCAAGGGCTTCCCTTCCTGCAGGCATGTCTTCATGTCTGCACGTGACCCAGTCTGGTCAGTGGTGGGCTCTGTTGGGGTTGGTTCCAGAAATCTGCATAAAAGTTCTTTGGGTGGTTTGGTTCCATTTCCCTAAGAACTATTAACCTAATCTCTTCTGTTCCTCCCTTTACCATCCTTTCTCATCTCTAGGAGGAAACATACTTTTCCTAAAACAATTTCTATAGTTCCCATTCAGGTAATTGGCTGATTTTAGAACCAGGTTCAGTTATCTGATCCCAGAATCCTCACCACCATCTGTAGCCACCTTACCCGAACGTGTGGCTGTAATTTCCTTGTTAGCAGCATCAGGGGCATGGGCCCAAGGGTTGGTTTCACGCACAGGCAATGCTATGGGTGCTAGAGCGGTATGGGCTGGCTTAGCAGCAAGCACATGGAAGGCTGAGTCAGTGCCATTAGCTACAATGGGAGCAGACAACATCAATGGAGTTAATTCATGCAGGGTTCACAAGCAACTCCTTAGAGCTGGGTCAGTCAGGCAAATGTACAATACTGGTAGAACAGACAAGACAGAACAGTTGATGTTGGGAAATTTATGCTGTCTTGCAATGGATACACATTCTTTTTGGTAAAGAAGGAATTAGGTTTTAACTAACATGGTTGCATTAACAAAGTCAAATGGCTGTTAGATAAAAATATGTGCATAGGAAGCAGGAAATGAACCTACAGT